TCTATCTATCTATCTATCTATCTATCTATCTATCTATCTATCTATCTATCTATCTTTCACCCTGTCTCCTCCCTCTCTCTCCCCCTCTCCCTTTCCCTCTTGCTCCCCCCTCCCTCCCTCCCTCTCTCCCTCTCTCCCTTGTGTGTACGTGCATGCCTTTCCACCGTATTGTAAGTATAGATTTACTGTTTTCAGAAAGAGAAACTGACTGATAGAAGGGGGGGAAAAACGAAAAAAAGAGGAGAGAGAAATAAGGGAGGAAAGGTTATGATAGAGAAAAATGGTTGTGAAAGTCACAGTAGCGTTCACACCCAAGTCGCGCTCTCTGCTCATGCTACTAAAAGGTGAGCGTTCCCTCTGGCATGAGGCCGCAATCTAGCTCGGCCCATAAGCGATTGAGATGGACGAACCCCCAATATGCCATGCATTAAATATTAATGACGCGTTTTTTTTATTCTATGAGCTCTGGGAATCAGCCCCGGCCCATTCTGTTGTACTGTTTCACAGTCAAAGGAGTCTGCTCTTAAAGGGGTCTACGGGGTTTTCTCCATCAAGTTAATCCGTTATTACCGCAAATTGACCCACAATCTGTTCTTCTATGCCTCCATGTTGATCGTTAATGTCTCCTTTTAGCCACCCAAGTTTTCTTCAGCAATGTGTGTATCATGAGTTTGGATTAGATGTTTAGAACGCGCCTGTCTGCGGTGAATGAGAAGTATTATTCCTTTTGTCCACCAAAGTTAATGCTTTATCGACCATGCCAGGATAGCGTGTTACCACCATAATTTATGTGTCCATATTTTTTGCTCTTTTATGTTTGGCCCTCAGGACTGGAAAAAGAGGTAAATTATGTATGGGCCTCATAGCGTCCACAGTTTTAATGTCCATGAGTGTCGTTTGATAGTGCATCTAATGTATGACTCGACTCCCAATACACGACTCATAATAAGGCAGATTGCGAAGCAATGTGATATCTGAACTCGTCCTGCTATCCCAATTGCTAAATGTCGTAGATCTGGATCGTGGTGTTGAAACCCTGGTTCGAATCCCCACTGGCGTGTTCCTGTTTCGGCTGTTTGGTGTGGGTAGTTGTAGGGCGCTACTGGCATTTCCTACTCCTTTTCTTGCCCGCTGTTATTTCTTTCTGTCTGCCTGTCTAACCCTTCCCTGCTCCAAGTGACCGTAATTACGTCTACGTGCTTCTCTTTACGTAAACAAACA